TTCTCAGGTACACGACACAGACATGCTTACGTAGGTGTTGAGGCTCCAGACTTATACACACACCCACACGAATTTACACACTTACACACATCATACTCACTTACTCTCTTAGAACCAAATAACACACACACTTAACAGAGATACATCCCCTTTCCAGGAGCCAATAAAACTGTCAAAATGACCAAGGGAATTCAGAGCAGCATGAATCTATCCAGCTCTTATCTTAAGTAACGACTTAAAAGAGGCTGTTTTGGGCCAAAAGTCTTGTTCTTTTATTATATTTATTTTATTTTATAAATTAAAAAGCAAATGAAAACCACAGACAAAATTTCATTTTCTCCAAGACATTCATTTCTCTAGTTCACTGCTACTAGAATATTTTTTACTCCTGATGATGGCCAAGAATATTAATATACAACCCAGTGTGTCTGAAGATCTTAATTTTTTAAATTCTTTATTGTTCAAAACACACACACACACACACACACACACACACACACACACACACACACACACACACACACACACACATATATATATATATATATATATATATATATATATTATGTATGTATATATATTAAACATTTCACCCCAATCCAGGCAATAAACACACTGAGACGCAATGGTTACTGATTGTTAGAGAATAATATTAAGGAAATAAAACAATAAAAGAGCAAGAATTAAGGCAGAAGATAACGATTGACATTGTATTTAAATTTTTGAATGCCAAAGTTATTGGTTTCAAGCACAATAGAACTGATTGTCTCTCCTTAATTTATAGGCAGAATCACGCCGCAGCCTGCTAGGATTTCCTCCAAGTCAATAAAATATAACCGGTTCTTGGTTTCCTCAGTCCCAGTCTGTTTTCTCAGAAGGCTACATTCACTCGACCGAATTTGCTTTTGTGTGTCCACTCCAATTCTTGGTCTGTCAGCTTTTTGCTATATTACACTTGCTTTGCCTTATTGTTATTAATTTACATTGCATATATTGTTTGCTTAATTTATATTATTTTTTGTCCTTTTTTTTATATTTTGTTATTGCAATCTTTGTCAATTCCATTTGTTGGATAGTTTTATCACTTATTTTGCATTTAACCATGGCTACCCAGACCACAGATTATGGACCAGATACTCTTCCATAGCGAGAGAAGTGTAGCAAAAGAAATTGAAGCATAGAACTGACGTTTAGATCCAGCCATATCAAATGTACAATGCGGAGACCTAGCTGGCAATCTAGTACTGCACTTAAATTCATAAAGTCTATGTACCGTAGAGGAAATTTCATCAGAACAATTACCATGAAAGTATTTAGAGAAATTAAATGACGGTGGGAATGTGACTGAATCCGAGATGCAAAGTCAGGACAAATAATATTGCAGTTTCTTCTTTGGATTTTATCAAGAACCACTAAATATAAAGCAGAAACACCCGGCCATATATGGCAGCAATATTCAAAGCATGGACGAAAGGTAGGCTTATATGAAAGATTCTGGAGAGGAAATGTGTCTAACACGAAACAGTGACCAATTTTCTTAAAAGTAAACCTAGCAATCTTCCCGCCTCATATCATCGAAAATTGTTACAGAGAAATACATTATGAATTTTTTATTTCTTGCAAAGCTAAGATGCTCTCATTTTGCGCTATATATCTATAATTCCAAAATCCAAGAAAAGCATTATATATCAATACATAACAACTTAGCCAAGTCTCTTTTAACTTCTATTTTATTTATAAAACGCGTCAATTGAGTTTTTATTTTGATTTTATGTGCACACGGGAAATTGAACAATCGTAAGTAAAGTCGAGAGAAACAATTATAACTTGTCTACTTACAAAATACATATATATTTATTTATAACTAATAACTGATACAACAAAAGTTAATAAAAATGAACACGCTACCACTCCTTGTCTAAATGATTGGATTTCTCCGTATCCTTGGAAACAGTGAATTATGAATATTTGTGTGCGTTTAAAACTAAGTAAATTTTAAAAATAAGCTACTTCAATATTCGCTAGAAGATGAAATGGAACTAATGTCTTTAATTTAATTACAAAATTAAATTTGAAGTTTTTAGCTTCCATTTTTGAAACCTGGTTGTAAGTGTGTAGCGAAAAAAAGCATATTTTAAACCAGCTAATTTATAATACATATGCTCTGTAAATTTACATTGACCACTGTTTGTAAAAATGAAAATATCAATAAGAACATCGGATTATATATCTTACTGTTCTTTCTTCATATATATATATATATATATATATATATATATATATATATATATATATATATAAAAAAGAAAGAAAGCTTATACAAAAATAGGAGTAAATTAAAATGCGTAGAAAAGTACACTGTTATACAGACCCACTGCCTCGATACCCACCTATCATCTTTTGTAAACCTCGTGTATTTATATCGCTGTCTGCCTAACATTGTTATTTCGAGGTACATGCAAACTTTCAGACGCGTTTTTCTACACGTAAGTATAAGAAAATAAGTATCTAAGTATATAAATTCACTAAGGTTATAATCGCACTAGTATATTTGATACGTTTTTTAAACGAAATCTATTTTTATTTATATCACGTATTTGTTTTAAACATTTGTTTGCGACCTTTTTTTTTTTAACCTTAATCGTGTCCAACGAATTGCATTTTGAAAAATATCAAAAGTGTGAAAATTCTGAAGTGAAAAATTTACAAGAACAAATTTAAGAGCAAAAGGTTTAAAACTGAACCGATTTTGACTGAAAAAATTTAATGTAAGTTATCTATGGGGAAGTGAGGTAGGAAAGAGAATGAGTGAAGAAAATGAATGAGAAGAGAGAAGGAGAAGGAAAGACGAAGGGATGTGCATCGAGGTGTGTGAACGAGTTGAAGAGGAATGGAATTTAAATGAAAGAGGAAGAGGAAGGAAAAAAGAGTGAATAAAATGAATAAGAAAAGAGAAGGAAAGAAGAATGAGTTTTCATTGGGGAATGTGAAGGAGTTCATCGGGAATGTAATGTAAACGAAAGTAGAAGAGGAAAGGAAGAAAGAATGAAGAAATGAATGAAAATAGAGAAGGAAGAAAGAATGAGTTTTCATTGGGGAATGTGAAGGATTAATCAGGAATGTAATGTATACGAAAGAAGATGAGGAAAGGAAGAGAGAATGAAGAAAATGAATGAAAAAAGAGAAGAAAAAAGAATGAGTTTTCATTGGGGAATGTGAAGGAGCTGATCGGGAATGTAATGTAAACGAAAGTAGAAGAGGAAAAGAGAGAGAATGAAGAAAATGAATGAGAAATTAGAAATAAAGGAGAAGGGATGTGCATCGGAAAGTGTGAAGGAGTTGAATGTGTATGAAATTTAAATGAAAGAGCACAATAAGAAAAATAAAATAATAAGCTTTGCAATCATGAAAATTAATTCGAAATGAATGAAAAGGAAAAATAGAAATTTGTAAATAAAATAACAGAAAGAAAGAAAGAAAGAAAGAAAGAAAGAAAGAAAGAAAGAAAGAAAAATTATACAACGAAGAATGCATTAAAAATATAAATGTATGAATAAGAATATTGGGTAATGAGATAAATAAATAAGTAAAAGAAAGAAAGAAAGAAAGAAGAAAGAAAGAAAAGAAAGAAAGAAAGAAAGAAAGAAAGAAAGAAAGAAAGAAAAATTATACAACGAAGAATGCATTAAAAATATAAATGTATGAATAAGAATATTGGGTAATGAGATAAATAAATAAGTAAAGAAAGAAAGAAAGAAAGAAAGAAAGAAAGAAAGAAAGAAAGAAAGACGGAAAGAAATTAGGGGATGGAGAATGCATTCAGACGAATGATTAAATGAATAATATTTGTCAATGAGAAAGAAAAAAAGAAAGAAAGAAAGAAAGAAAGAAAAAAAGAAAGAAAGAACGAAAGAAAGAAAGAAAGACAGTAAGTAAGTAAGTAATGAAAATGTATTGAAATAATGAATGAATGAATGGATGAAAATATCGAATAATGGAAATAACGAAAGAAATATGGGAAGAAAGAATAAAGCAAGAATGAATGAAAGAAAATTGAGTCGAAATAAATAAAAATCAAGACGAACCAATAACGTGTAAAGGACACAGAGGAATATGAATTAAAAATAAAGAACAAATAACATAAAGAAATAGAAAAGGGTCAGTGTTCTCAGGAACTAACTTAGTTTCAATTTCTTCTGGCATAAGTACAGAGCCGAAATACACCTAGTTTTCTCATTTTATTTATTTATTTATTTTTTTGTATATGGCTGGACTGACAATCTATCTATCTTTCTATCTATCTATCCGTCTGTCTGTCTGTTTGCCTACCGAGCTAGCTTAGAGGGGCTACAGCAAATTCCAGAGAACGTAAGACGAGAAATGGCTTATTTAAAAAAAAAAAAGATGGAAGATTGAGAGAAAAGTAACTTCTTTATGTCGAGCCTCGTATGGGCACCTCGAAGTGGTGTAATGGTTAGCAAGCTTGTCTCGCTAGAACAATTACGAATGAGTAGGGAGTTCGATCCTCACTAGGCGCCCCTTACTTTCGGCCTTGTGCCACATCCAAGCTACGCTTAGAAAATCACTATGTCTAGCCACGTGTGAAATGTTTGCTGAGAAAAGGAAAACATGGGAATCCTAAGAACATTAACGATTGGTCAGTCGGTTCAAATTCATAGTTTAGACTCGGTATATTAATTCAAGTCCAAATTGCGTGTACTTGAATAAAGTACAACTCTCCTCAAACACGTGTGTCTATACATCAGGGGCACATGCGTTGGAAAACAATTTTCTATAAGTATTTTGGAAGGAAGGAAGGAAGGAAGGAAGGAAGGAAGGAAGGAAGGAAGAAAGGGAAGGAAAGGAAGTTCACCTGCCTTTGAGAATGTTCGTAAATGGCAGAATTCTTTACAAAAGTTCTCACGAGCGACAAAAATGGAAAACGTTATATGAATAAAAAGTGAAAATGCTAGGAAAATATGAAGATAAATTAAGTCATGTCATGCAAAGTGCACAAAAAAACAGAGGAAGATAATAAAATCATTTAATGAAATCGAAGGAAGAAGAAATGGATGAACTGGTCGAGAAAGAAAGAAAGAAAGAAGTAGGCAAAGAGAAATATATAAGAAAGAATGAACTGGTCGAAAGACAGAAAGGACTAGTAGAAAGAAAGAAAGAAGAAAGAAAGAAAGAAAGAGAAATATATTAGTAAAGAAAGAAAGAAAGAAAGAAAGAAAGAAAGAAAAAGTGCAAATAGCAAGAACAAAATGAATAAACAACTTCCAAAAAGTTGAATGAAGAAAAGATGCAAATGGTAAAAAAGTAAGTAGAGGAAAAGTGAGATGAAGAAAAAGAAGCTAGTTGACAAAAAATGTTTAGATAAAGCAGACTCTTGGATTAAAATCAAGTAGAAATATTCAGAGTTAAATGGAAGAAAGTAATCAGGAAAAAAAAAGAAACATTAAAAAGAACGTTATTCTTGAACAGAAGAATTTATATAAAGAGAGAGGAAAGAATGAAAAACGCGCTGTGAACAATGGAATGAAAAAAAGAAGGAAATTGAAAGGCTTGAATGCAAAAGGAAGGAAATGTCAAAATGTACATTCATATACTTTATACGCACACATACACATATATATGCATATGTATGTATGTATGTATGTATGTATGTATATAAGAAAATAGAGCAGAAAAGTTAAAGAAGTGTCAAGAAAATAGATTCAACGGAAATAACTAAGAAAGCGAGACAGTTTTCACTTACTAAATAAACTTATCTTCAAGAAAGAAAGCGGAAGAAAAAATGATATCAAGAATGTCACGAGAAATTTCTGGTAAAAAATGATAAAATTTCGCAATGATTTTTCTAACAATCAATTTCACTTCGAATTTCGCGATTTTTCTTGTTTTTCTCTTATTTTCTTCTTTCCTATATATTATTATATATTCCCTTCCCATCCCTTCTTCTTCTTCTTCTTCTTCTTCTTCTTCCTCCTCCTCCTCCTTTTTCCTCCTCCTCCTTTTTCCTCCTCCTCCTTCATCTTCTTCCTTTTCTCAATCTTCTTTTTCTTTTTATTCTTCTTGTTCTTCTATTTATTATTATTATTATTATTATTATTATCCTGTTTTTTCTTTTTCTTTTTCTTCCTCTTCTCTTTTTTTCTTCTTCTTCTTTTCCTTCTTCTACTTCTTCATTGTATTTAAATGCTTCTTCTTCACTCTTTTCATTCTTTCTCTACTCCTTCTTTTTCTTCCTTCTCTTTCTCTGCATTTGTTCTTTCTTTTTATGTTCTCTAATTTTATTCATTCCAAATCTTTTCCTGATTTCCCTGATTTTGATCGAATTCAAAAGAAAGACTTCAAATCGGTCTGCATCTACGTTTTCATCGATTATTTTTATCACATATCCTCCAATATTTTTTATATATCATTTATCCTCCAATATTTTATTATATCCTCCAATATTTTTATCCAATCCTTCATTTTTATCACATATCCTCCAATATTTTATTATATATCCTCCAATATTTTTTACATATCCTCCAATATTTTTTATATATATCCTCCAATATTTTTATTATATATCCTCCAATATTTTTATCACATATCCTCCAATATTTTTATTATATATCCTCCAATATTTTTATCACATATCCTCCAATATTTTTATCACATATCCTCCAATATTTTATTATATATCCTCCAATATTTTTATTACATATCCTCCAATATTTTTATCACATATCCTCCAATATTTTTATCACATATCCTCCAATATTTTATTATATATATTTTTTACATATTCTCCAATATTTTTATTACATATCCTCCAATATTTTTATCACATATCCTCCAATATTTTTATATATCCTCCAATATTTTATCCTCCAATATTTTTATTATATATCCTCCAATATTTTTATTACATATCCTCCAATATTTTATTATATATCCTCATATTTTTATTACATATCCTCCAATTTTTATTTTTTTTTTATCACATATCCTCTAATATTTTATTACATTTCCTCCAATATTTTTATCACATATCCTCCAATATTTTATTATATATCCTCTAATATTTTATTACATTTCCTCCAATATTTTTATCACATATTACTTTTAAATAAATTAATGTAATTATTCGCATATCTCTTACCAATAAAGGAGGGAAATCCAAACTAAAATCCCTTGAAAGAGTGCAAATATTTCTTGGTGCTTTAATCTGCACTTAATGCAAACAGCTGTCATGTAAGTTCTGATTTATATAAAAGGGAGTTCAGCCTAAGCTGAGACCAAAACAAGTATAAAGAATAAATTTTGGTTGTCGAGTGTTTATTTTTATCGAGTCACAGTCTTAGACTTTGGTAATGATTAGCAAGCATGTCTCGCTACATCACTTACGACTGAATGGTGAGTTAGATCCTCACTGGGTTCTCCCTACTCTCGGCCTTGTGCCACATTTAAGCTGCACTTAGAAATTCACCATTATGTTATACACTTCGATACGATTTAACGATTAGTAAGCACGTCATGCTAAATCATTTTCGACTGAGTAGTGAGTTCTATCCTGACTGAGAGCTCCGCACATTCGGCCTTGTGCCATATCTAAGCTACGCTTAGAAAATCATTAGTGCACCTGGACGGGGTGTAATTGTTAGCAAACTTGTCTCGCTAGAACAATTACGACTTAGTAATGAGATCGACCCTCACAGGCTGTTCCATATTTTTGGCTTTGTACCATCATGGCCTTAATCAGATGTAGCCGTTCATATCGATTTCATGGCTGGCATCTGGCTCATTCAGAGGTATCTAAGCTTACGGCCAGATCAGGTTAAACAACAGTTCCCGTACGATCACCGAAGTTAAGCAACGTCGAACCTCATCAGTACCTAGATGGATGAACCCTAAGGAATATAAAGTGATTCGGGTGTCTTCTTCATGTTTGAGGAGATGGTTCAGAAATTGCTGTCACACAGGAGGACAGATATTACGTAAGAGTTCAGTACTCATTTCTTGGTTTTTTAACGAATTTTTCTGTGTCTTAATACTCTACTTAGCTTCACTAAACCATCATTATTTCAAAATATTCTTACAATCTAAAAATATTTGCTGGTTTTAAATAACATGCAGCGGGTGTGAGTTCAGTACCCGGTTAAGGCAGTGGAGAACTTTCAGAGAGAAATTAACATGAGATAACTGATAACTGACATCCATCAAACATGGCACGTGGAACTAGAACAGTCTACCCCGGTGAACGAAATAAAGGGTTCAGTTCGACATTCCAACCACCTGAAGAAGGCCGGAGCGTACAACGGCCGAAACGTTGTGCTAAATATGGCGACAAAGATGAGGACAATAGTCCGAATAATGTAAATAATGTACATAATACCTCATCTCAGAAATATAGACATTATATTGTTAAAAAAGCAAATACTTTTCTTTTGACTGAATAAAAAGCATTGCTTAACATTAAAAATTAAACCATTGATGTCTAATACCTCGCCATTAATTTACTAGCATCTTGCTAATACCAAATTCCATGTGTATCTTTTTTATTTTATTTTTCTCATTAGATTTCTTTCCCAGCAAATAATAACACGTTGTTTTATTTGTGCTCTTTTCTCAGCTGCAACAAATCTCCCTTGGTCGTCTTTTGGGTAACATAAAATGCTTCGTTGTTTTATTGGGAAATTGCCGTTTTTACTAATTCTCTCCGTTACCAGAGCCATCAATATGCTTGATTCTTCCCCTACTGCCTGCCTCCTTCCATTACACACAAGAAGCAATTGTTTTCAGCTGAACTTTGGCGTCAGTGCAAATGCTTAAATCATGTCACATTGGTGGTATGTTTGCTGCCTGGTGTTTGAAAACAAAACATTTGTGTTTTAGGACTTCAGGAGGAGGAAGAGAGAAACAAAAAAATGGCAGAAAGAAGAAAAGAAAATGGCGGTAACATGAAAAATTGGAGAATCAGAAATCAAAACAATGAATATTAAAAAGAAAAGAACAAATAAAGTAAAAAAAAAATATGTTAATAACAACGGAATTAATGACTGGATGAATTATATCGAAGAAAAGAGAGACTAAAAACAGAAAATGTGTAAAAGACTTGTAAAAAGATTATCAAAATGTTTGGTAACGGAAAAGTGAAAATAATTAACACGATGGAAAATGACAAAACAGAAGAAGAAGAATAAAGATGCATTGTGGGAAAGAAATAATTTATATGAAAAAATGGAGAGGAATAAAAGAAAATGCCTTAACCTAGAAAAGGTTACTGAATGAGGAATAACCAAAACGGAGGCTGAAAATGAAATTGGTAATCTTTATAACTTCATCAACAAAATACAATACTCGCCAGCGGCGTGAAGTAGGTAAACCACTGCTAGTAGTTGACTACTTATACAGCATATTACCCCCACTTAAAATAGTTTCCAACCTATTTATGAGGATTGTGACATACACATTAGTGATCATAGGTATCGTATATAACAGAACGAAAGAAGGGAGTAAGTCTTTAAGATAGAAATTTTGATTAATATATACATCAAAGAAAAACAAATATATATATATATATATATATATATATATATATATATATATATATATATATATATTAGAGAATCAGAAGTGAAAAGAAGAAAGCAAAATGAACGTAATGTAAGAAGGAATGAAGACAAAAGGAAAATAAAGAATACAAATGAAGGAAGGAAAAAGAAAGTTAAAAAATATGAATTAAAAATGAAGAAAATCGTAAGGAAAGAGTAAAAGAGAAATGGAAAAAATAAAAACGGAACAATAGAGAAGGAAAGAGGGAGAAAGAAGACATAAATAGGAAGGAAAAGGAAGAAAGAGGCAAAAGAGAAGGGAAGAGGAAGAAAGAGACAATAGAGAAGTAAGAGGAAGAAAGAAGCACTATAGAAGGAAAGAGGAAGAAAGTGGCAATAGAGAAGGAAAGAGGAAGAAAGAGGCAATAAATAAGGAAAGAGGAAGAAAGAGACAATAGAGAAGAAAGAGGAAGAAAGATGCAACAGAGAAGGAAAGAGGGAGAAAGAAGACATAAATAGGAAGGAAGAGGAAGAAAGAGGCAATAGAGAAGGAAAAAGGAAGAAAAAGGTAACAGAGAAGGAAAGAGGAAGAAAGACGCAACAGAGAAGGAAAGAGGGAGAAAAAGGCAACAGAGAAGAAAAGAGGAAGAAATAAACAATAGAGAAAGAAAAAATTAAAAAAAATAAAATGAAACGAAAGAATAAAAATAAAGGCATTTAAAAAAAGAAGGAAAAGGAAAAAATAATAAAAAAGAGAAATTTCCGTGGAAGAAGCGGGAAAGTAGTAAGAGGCTTCCCACATCCCGCCTGCGGGAGAGAGGTTGAAGGGTGGGGAAAAGCCCGTCCCCAACAAGGGCTCGAAGTCACTTTTCAGGGCTGGAGTGTGCGGTCTGGGCAGCTATCACCCAAATATGAAAACAGTCCTCCATTTTGGGCCTGATCTGGCTCTTGTAAAGACAGAGGGTCAGGTACTTACTGAGGCGGTACAGGGAGCCGACCATTTTATCTACATCCTTAGCAATGGGTCCTCGGTGTGATGTTGAGGCCCAATAGTCTTTCAAGGCAAGCACTTCCCCGCGAGGACCCTCGTTCATTAAGATTGGTGGCAATTCGTGGTCAGATCGGCTATGATAGAATGTAACTAGTCTTTGAGGCATTGAATGTAACCAGCCAGTTTCCCCCCCCCACTATGCGAGATCGGAAGAGAGATCAGTCACCAATCTCTGACCATCGAGAGTGTTAGAGATGCGCCCGTATATAGTCATACCATCGGCATAGATGTTTACAAATGATCTGAATATATAAGCAGATCGTTTATGTAGATCAGAAGAGAGTTGGTTCGAGGAGTGACCTCTAGGGCTCCGGAGGATTGGTCATTGATAACTACCTTCAGGGACATACCTTTTAGAAAAGATTTTATGATCGAGAAGACCCTTCCAATGATTCCATAACTGGTGAGCTTGTGTAGTAAGCCTTTGTGCCACACCTTGTCGAAAGCCTTTGGTATATTTAGTGATATGGCCGTCAAGTGCCTCACTGATTATGTGAGTGATGGTAGTTTGGACGTCGGTAGTAGATCTGGTCGACCAAGATTCCTACTGTTCGTCACTTTAGAGTTTGTTCTTTTTTAGGTGCTTGACGACATGTTTATTCATTATGGCTTCAAAGAACTTCCTGGTGATGCTGAAGAGACTGATGGGTCTCTTCTGGGAGGAGGAAGATCGCACACCCGCTTTCTTGATAATCTGGCATTTGCTTGACACTAGGTTTGGGAAGGATATCTGCTTCAAGCAGCGGTTAAATAATTTTGCTAGGATTTGAGATAGTTCTGGGTTGATATTCTTAAGAACAACCACCGGAATTTTGTCTGGACCAGTGGCTTTCTTAGGATAAAGGCCGTTGTAATCTTGAGATCTCGCGTGCTGTGACGCTAATATTACTGAAATTGTGCTCAGTGAGACGTGGGAACTTGCGAAGGGGATAGTCTTTGTCAGCTAACGTTCAGTTAGAGGCAAAGATGAGGGCGAAGCGGTTCGTCTTATCGACCGAGGGTCATTGATAATTGTTGGCACAGCCATTTTGAATCTGTTAATGATTTGGTTGGTGATCTTTCAGAATTCACGGAATTGAATTTGTTTCTTTCAACATTGGTCTGGACCACTTGAGCGTAGCTTCACTTGAAGTTTTCTAGAATTTTTTTGCAAGCAGTTCTTAATGCAATGAGGGCCAAACTACTTCGATCCTTTCGATAGATATTGAACTAGTTGTTTTCGGGGATTTATAGCTGTAGCATATTCAGGGGTGATCCAAGTTTGACTGTTTGGTTTTTACTGGTATTTCTTTTGGGATCTAAAACTCTCCATTCCAGAAAGGATCCAATCACTGACAAGGGCAACAGTTTTTAGGGCAGCATTCTTGAATATGGTTGGGAGGGGAGTTTCTATCATGTACGATCGAAATTTGCCCTAGTCTGCCTTCGCATAGAGGACAATCGTTCTATGGAACGGTACATTATGGGATGTCTTAGGGTTGATATCAATCTGGACACTGATTACCGAATAGTCTGAAGTGCTTAGTGGAGGTAAAAATTCCGATAGGTATTTATAAGTTAGGAATTTGTCGAAGAGGTTTGCCGGATGTCCCATAGTGTCCAGGACCCGGGTAGGTTCTCCGATGACCTGGGTTACTTAATAGGTGATGGAGATGTCTCTTGAAATATCTGCCCTCGACGTCGGTTTTATTGGAGTAGACTAGCGACTTTTTACGGTAGTTTTACACCAACCAATGCACATATGAAACCAAACAAAATGTAAATGAACAAAAATATCAAACCCAACCCTAGAAAAAAACAAAAAAAAAACAAAGTAGACACCCCGTATACAATCTCCCACACCATCGTGAAGGGGTCTACAGTCCAACTTTCCAGAAATGGAACACCATCTTCTCTAATCTTAACTAGACCTCCAGTTACTTTCTGAATCCGGTATCAAGTGTTCTTTGCACTGGAAGAGAACGCGTTATCTAGCCTGGTCAACAATCTGAACAAGGCCAGCATACTCAAAACCTTCGGGCACACAATGTTGGCTCTCCAAGGTTGCTATTTACCCAATTTCACTTACAAAGCTTGGGTAAAGTGGTATAGATTTCAGGCACTTTCCAAAGGTTCTGCACACTGAGATCGCCTTCTTCCAGACTGATAACACCAAGAAACCACCTTCTTGATAAATCAACCATCCTGAGATTTGAAAACGGCTCTCATGATCAGAATACGAACGTTCTAAGATAGAGTGAACTGTGACGTTGTCTTCAATGTACGGGTGTCCAACAGTTCCGCTTCTAGAATTGCAGAGTCATATGATTTGACAAAAGATTTGAGGGTTTTTATCGAACCATTTCAGAAGAAGCGAGTGCATTGAGTGTACAACGAGGACCCGTCTTTCTACCAAACTGGCTGATAACCAGGGCTTAAGAGCCGAGCCTGCTCTCACATTTTACCGGAAAGAGCAAAAGGTGGTTTAATTGGTGGTGGGACGGTGGATGAACACTTTTCCTACGGATACAGTTTTGCAAAATGAATGTCACCAACTTCTCGATCAGTGATGCTAATCTTTACACATACTATATATATATATATATATTAAAAAATATGATTCCATTTTAACGGCTTTCTAAATACGAAATACACCAGCCGAGTATATATATGTGCGTGTGTGTGTGTGTGTGTGTGTGTGTGTGTGTGTGTGTGTGTGTGTGTGTGTGTATGTTTAAAATGGGATGTATACATCATCACAGTTTTGAAGAAAATTGATGAATAGACTATGAATATATATATATATATATATATATATATATATATATATATATATATATATATAATAACCTTGAGCGCTTAGCTTAGAAGCGGGTAGAATGGAGATCAACGTGTTTTTTCAATCTGCTTGTCTGAATCATCTTCAAGAAGCGAAAGCAAGATGTAAAAGGTCAACCAATCTAAGAGTGATCTCATCTCACAATGCTCTTACTTGCTTCATATGCGACCTCCTTTTGTAAATCACTAGCGGGTCTTAAATGTCACTTTAAGATTAGCGCATAAACTTTCATAACTGAATCAATAAGCTGGCAGATCGCCATGCGTCGAAACCGACGGGGAGTCCATTATATATATATATATATATATATATATATATATATATATATATATATATATATATAAGAATGGATTTTTTTCAGTCTGATATGTTTATATATTAAACAGTATATTTATTTATTTTCTCCTACCGGCCTGCTGAAATTGCGAGAAATCTTATTAAAGAAAAATTTGCTCTCACAAAAGAGGGGGATGTTTTTCAAAAGCTCGGAAATTGGGGCAAATATCTTAGTTAAACCTTTCTGAAGACTAATTTCACTGACACGCACGCATTCATGTGTATGTACGTTTTCGATATTTCTTTTTGAATTGCTGCTAAGTACATGTGTGTGTGTGTGTGTACGCGAGAGAGAACGTTCTTTGATGAGTGTATTTCGCTTTATCTTTCATTATCTCACCTTTCTCCCGTAAACCAACCTACAATTCAATCCAAATCCAAATATATATATATATAGCACCCACCGGCGCAGACCCACATCTGAACAGAATGAAACCTCAGCGCGTCGTGCAGACTCATTTATTCGCTTGGGCTCTTTTTGCCTGTGATACGCAGACTGAAAGAAAAATCTCAAAGAATTTCCTTATTCTGTCGTATGTTCGTCTCACGCCACTACATTTCGCCTTGGAAGAAGCAAAAGAAATAAAACATGTCGATGCGATCCTAAAACGACGAGATAAATACACGTCGTTGCAGGTTTGAAGTCGAAGTTTCGTTTTATATTTGCTAAAATAAAACTTATATCCTCATTTCGTGACCGGAGAGAGAGGAGTAACAAATGAAGCTCGACGGGTAATCCCGAAAAATCTCAGCGACAGAATAAAAGACGACAGATGAAGCCACGTGTGAACTCGAAAAGAAAAAGAGAGAGAGACAAAGTGAGAGATAGATAGATAGAGAGAGAGAGAAGAGAAAATGAAAGAGAAAAATTTGAAGGGAAACAAGTTATTTGGGGATATTTTTTCTTTTGACATTGTTATTTTTAATATTCTTATTGTTCATAACGTTACTTTTACTCTTTTTAGTTGATTTTTGATTCCAATGTATTTCTTCCTTCCCGCCATCTTTAACTTGATTTTTTTTCTTTGCGTCATCATTATCAATATGGCAAGCTTTTTATTACTTATTATCATTATCATTATCTATATTATTGTTACTGTTATCGTCTCTGTTATGACTACTAAGGTATTATTATTATTATCATCATTATTATTATTACATATTTTAGCTTCATAAATATATATATATATTTATTCACACCAAGTTTTTGAATTTTGTTTATTGCAATTCTCTCGAAATCTCCGGCACTTTCCTCGCAGACCCCAGACGTAATGTACCTGTGTGCTTTCTCACTCTTTCCTTGGAGTTCCAAATCATTCCATATCAATTCCAGGTTCCTTTTGGTACGTCTGCTATTATATTCCATAACTTTCTCAGCTAACGGTTGAGATCCTGATATTTTTTCAGTTTTTAATCTTCATTCATATTCACTCTAGCTTAGGCATTTCGACGTGTTGTAATGGTTAACAAGCTTTGCTCGCTAGATCAATTACGACTGAATAGGGAGTTCGA